AATTGACATTGAAAAAATAAGGTTCAAAATATCAAACTGGCTCTACCATTGCGACCCCCACGGATCCGTGGCCGAATAACGAACCTCTGGTCCCTTGACATTCTTACAGAAATAGTCCACTGGATGGGGGAGATTTTCATTATCTCGTTGCATCAAACATCCACCAATAGCTATGCCACTGGCGTCTGTATGTACTTCCCACTCTTTATCAAAGTCAGGCACTGCCAGAACCAGTGTTGTGATGAGCTGACTTTTCATTTTTGCATAGGCTACATCATGCTCTGGCTTCCAAACAAACTTTACATTTTTCTCTGTTTGATCGGTCAGGGGGGCTGATGTACTAGCAAAACCTTTAATGTGACGTCGAAAATATCCAACTTCACCCAGAAACCTGCGCACGTCATTTGCTGTTCTGAGATTTGGCATTTCAGCAATGGCGGTGGGAGTCAAGATCAGGCATGATACCGTCTGTGCTCACCTGCAACCCCAGAAATTTACATTTCTGAGCTGCCAGAGTGCACTTCTGAACATTTAATTTGAAACCTGCTCGATCTAACACAGTCAATGTGTCAGTCAAGTCCCGTAAGTGTTCACCAAACGTCCTGAAATAGATTACCACATCATCCAGGTACGCTAGTGTGTGCCTTCCCAAGACTGGGCTAAGTATAAAATTGATGGCCCTCTGAAATGATGAAGTGGCTGTCTTTAGGCCAAAAGGCATCCTACGAAATTGGCAAGTGTGCCTGCCGTCAGAGAATGCGGTTTTTCCCTGTCATTTTCAGCCACTGGTACTGCCCAATATGCTGACTTGGCAGCTCCAAATTTATCTATTATCTCCTAAATTCGGGGTAAAGGATACACATCACCCTTAGTAATTTCGCTTACCTTCCAGTAGTCCACACAAAAACAATAACTACCATCTGGTAGTTACTAGCAAAAAACCTTTACTGTGACTGTGACTTTAATGCACTAACACAACAGGAGACAGCCAATATGACATACTAGGTTCTATCACGTCCTGTCACAACATTTTCTGGTTCTCATCCCTGATAACTTTCTTTGCTTGTTCTTGGAGCCTCCACTGCCTGGTGTAAATAGGCACGTGGTCACTTGTTGGAATAGTGAACTCAATGCGGTCCAGAAGACCACTCTGGTCATCCTCGGTTGCAAACAATTTTGGGAATTTATGTAAAATTTCCCTCAGCAGTTTTCTATCTGTCTGTGGAACATGTTGCAAATCTAATGTCGAGATCAACTTATCTATATCCTGTGTATTACTATAAACACCTTTTTCCTTTTTCTTCAGTGTTTTATCGCTATCTACTACATTTAATGCACTACATTTTGCAGTGACAGTTGGCATTTCAGATGACTCATGATGACAAATTTCTGTCTCAATCACCAGAGTTCCCAGAGACACTCTGGGAACTCTGGGAACTCTGGGAACATAACCTTCAGTATGTCACCTGCCCTAAAATTATAAGTTTTATGCGAGAGATTGACGACTGGAATAAGAGCACTTTTATCAAGCACTACTATTAGATGGTGAGGAATCAATAACCTGTCACCTCTCTCAGCTACCTGAAGGGTACTTCTTGGCAGGATGTGATGTCCCATGAACACTTGAATAAATTTTACCGATTGTAGAAGACAAGATTGTTTTGTCAATGCATGTAACCCACATGATCTCTAGTCTGTGTCTGGACGAGACTTAAAAAGTCATTTGGGGTAATTTACATTATATTTTTGCTTCTTCTTGATTGAAGTCATTATTAAAGGATGGTCGACCATCTCAACTGGGTAAGAAATCAGTTCCAACTGTAATCTGCAGTTCCTTGCACCTGTACTTGCAGACAAGGAGTGATCAAACGTACTCAGAAAGTAGCCATTAAGGTGTCCCCAGTAAAATAAAAAAAAAAAAAATGCCTGGATTAAGGGTCCAGTCTCTTCGGAGGGGTGGGTTCGAATCTCACCACTGCCACCATTGTAATGGGGGCCAGACTTTAACCTCACTTAGCCTGGTTAAACCTTTTCATTAATTATTTATTCTTATTTCCCAAAGTTTTTAAGGTAACCTTCAGTACAACTCCTCGAACCTAAAGCGTTTGATTGCCTAGATATCATGACACGAGGACGCTGTACCTTCTCTGCTACTCTGTAAACTCTGTGACACGGCCGCCACCACCTGCCTTCCAAAAACCCACTGAATAATTCCCCCAATTGCCGGTGAAGCAGGAAACCGTCAATTAGACATGGATCCCCGAATGTGTATCCCAATTGTGAATAGGATGGATGAATTGACATTAAGTATGGTTTAAATCAAAACACATACGAATTATATGAGCTACTAGATAATTGACATTGCCTGCAGAATCTGCATGGGCGCCTAGGGATCTTGAACTCAACAAAATATAAAATGGAGGGAACTCGTAAACACAAATTAATTGAATCACAAGTTTAATTAAAATAAAAGATAAAGATTTTACATAGAATGAACACTCCCTAACTGAACACTTTCTATCTGAGGCAAATGAGTAAGATTTATCAATCTATTAGTACTAGAAGTCATAGACTTTTTTAATCTTAAACCAAACCCAGGCCAGTTGGAATACCAGCTTCTAGATGAGGGATCTTGACCCTACGATGTTCACAGCCATACTGCCCTATTCCCTGACCTCCAATCTGTGAGGCAGACCGTGGCTTAGTTGCCATACCTTTTCTTCACAGATGATTCATGGAGGGTAACTTAATTATTACTCCAAAAAAATTGAAAATTATCTAAATACTTGAGGAGGGTTTGATTATTGATCCAAATATCGAATATTACCATAATTTACTGAATTACACCCCATGGTGGTACTTATTTTCTCTGCACTGGAAAGTAGTTCACATACTCTAAATGCGCCATCAGCCCTTGTTGACTAAGAAGAGTTGAATCTTTACTGTAAAATGGCGTTAATTTACTATAAGTATTTAAGCATGGTTGATTATTCATTATTATTGTGTATTACATTAATAAATATATTTTTAAGGATTAAGCACAAGGGAGGGTGATGATAGTGACGTCATGTCGCTCTAAGATGACTCACTGCATATCTTTGCCAGGTCTATATGTACCAATACTATGAACTCCATTACCAGGTCGGAATTCCGCATATTTTTTTATTATAACTCTTTACTATGGCTTTATAAATAGCTACATGGAGGGCGACGACTCTTTTCTAAGTGAAAGTGATTCATGGGGAGAGTTAGTACTAGGTTACCACAATTAGATTTGGCGACCTTGCCTCGTCTCTAAGCACTTAATTCCCTTGTGAAGACCTTTCTTAGGAACTCGAGTAAAAACGGCCATTTTCCTGCATTCTTTTCATACAAGGCGTATCCCACATTTTAGTAAATGCTATAACCTTCTAAAATAGTTTAAACTATTACAGCACTTTTGATGAGTAAATATTGTAGAGTAAGAAGGAAATTGAATAGGTGTCAGTAAGATCACAGCCTTCCACCGGGAACAGAAAATGAGGCCAGGTGCGCTCAACAGATGGTGTTGACATCGTCACAAGTTTCCTGTATGGTACTGTATCAAAGACTTTTTGGCAGTCCAGAAATATGCAATCTGCCCATCCTTTCCTGTCCTGCCTTAGTCTTGTTTCTTTATCATAGAATTCCAGAAGGTTTGTTAGGCATCATTTCCCTTCTCTGAACCCATGTTGGTGTTTGTTTACATACCTAATTATCTGTAAGTGTGTAACCTGATTATTCTTTCAAGCACTTTACAGTGGATGCTTGTCCGTGATACTGGTCTGAGGTTAAGTGCCTCTTCCTTATCTCCTTTCTTTAAAATTTGTACTACATTTACCTTCCAGCAACTGGGAACTCTCCCTTCGTAAGTGACTCATTACAGATACTTGCTAGAGGCGAGTATCCAGGGCTTGTCCTGCCTCGCAGTGATACGTTGAATGGTCCAACTGCTTTTGTTTCATGCAGTGTTGTTAGTTGTTTCATTACCTCCTGTTTTAGAGGTAATTACCTTCCATTGTGAACACTCCATGGAAACAGGCATTCAGTACTTTGCAGTTTTCCTTGTCACTTTCTGGATATATCTCGCCAGTTTTTCTTAGTTTTGTCACTTTGTCGTTCACCGACATTTTCCTTCTTATATGACTATGTGTTACGGTCACTATGGACCAGTAACTGGGTTCTTGATGTTATAATCTTTTTCTTAGTATCCGACCCCAAGTCGGTAGTACGCTTTCAAGAACTGGCTATATAGTGCAATGAATAAATAAGGAGGGGGGGGGGGATAATCAAGACACTATTCCCATCACCAATATATTTACACTTATACCTTTAAAATATAATAAATAGATTATTACTATAAATATTTACAATAGTGTCGCTTTCACACAGGACACTAAAAGCGCACACATGCAGTGTTTGTCAACCTCAGTGTGCCACCACTCAGTATCTCGTCCACTCGTACTGGAAAACACTGGCGGGTTCACCTTCACGTGGGCCAGCCCACAGACACTGCATCACGAGGTGCCTATACCCCACTATCATTCTCCAGTCACTCGCTGGCAGAGGACTTCAGCCACACGCTGATCGGGGTCACAAACTAAGATATTCAGGGGTAGCTAAAGTCTGGCAGAAGCCTCTAGCGACCAGCTAGCAGCACTTCACAACAGGCACCTCACTGTCGTCCATTACTCTCCTAAGCCAATTCCCTGGTACGCCGATGGTTACTAACACTACGATATATAGCAGCTAACACACACTGCATACATTGACGGCGGCTTATTCAGTCTTCTTCCAAGACCAGGCGGAGAGTACGTGGACTGCCCAAGGTAAACCGCCTTCCTCGGTACGACTGCTTCCACATATTACCTCTGTGGACATGGAACGTCATCTGTTAGCAGGACGGTACACTGGGGAAACCAAGAGGTAACACTTACTCACAGGGGAGTTAACATTTTGCTCTGTAACACAATCAAGGTGGCATGGGTCTTGATACTCCCACAACCAGAGGTCATCCACAACGACCTCTGTCTAACCAAGGCAGGAAACCACAGCCATCTGCCAACGTCACACAACCACCAATAGATGGCGTTGCCCCTGTAGCATCCAATATCAGGGGAGGGCGGAGTATAGACCCATAGATGGCGCTGGAATTGCCACGCTACACACTGACGAAGGTGACGAGTCCGTAACACTATATAGTAATTTAGGTTGCTTTTTTGCTTTGATCGCAATATCGTTCTCATAGTTCCTTTCCAATACTTTCCTTATATTAATGTATTCGTTCCTTGTTCTGTTGCATCTAATTCTATTGTCCTCTGTCCTTTGTTCCCTGTACCACTCTATCTGTTTATAAAACTCTCTTCGGCCTCCTTTCCTATCTACTAGAATAAGACCATCATATATTGTACTGTTTTTCCTCTAAGATCTTCCTTCCACTGCACTTCTCTCCAGATATTACCTTACCCTCCTGTAATCCCTTTTAATATAGTCTACTCTCCTTTAACCAGCCTCTTGCCCCGAGGTCATAATTTTAAGCTCGATCGTGTAGTCAAAGACTAGGACACAGTGGTCACTGGCTCCTAGTACTATTTCATGTTCCATATTCTCAACGTCTTCCTCATTCTTGGGAAACTTAGGTCTAATAGGCTCGGTGTTTCCCCTCCTCCTTCCCATGTGTCTTCATATGTTGGGTTAGGAAATTCCTATCTACAACTTCCCCTAATTTTGCTCCACACGTTTCTTCCCCATCATGGGAATTTCTTGAATCCCAATCGATTTCTCCGTGATTGAGGTCCCCCATGGCCAACAGTTCCACTCTCATTCTGAGCTGTTGTTGCTGCCCTCTACAGGTTATCTATACATGTCGTGCTGTTATCATCATTTTCCTGTCTGTGCCTCCTACTGTTTGGTGGGAGATTGTCGATTATCAAGATCACACTCCTTTTCCCATCTGCTGTCAGAATCCCAAGTATGGAGCTTGGGTTTCCATTAGTTCCATTCAGGATGGGAGTGGGGCAAGATAATGGATGTTTGAAGGCAGTAGAAAGGGGTAGAAAGACTTGGGGGTTGCACGGTGAGGGGGGGGGGGTCATACTGCAGGTGAGGTGCTAAGGGGGGTAAGGGTAGTGAGGTGTTTGGAGGGTGGAGGGGAGAGGAGGAGAGGGGTATTGAAGGAAGGGGTAGAGGTGATGGAAGTTAGTGCATAGGGGTAGGAAGGGGAAGGGGAGTTATGAGTTAGGACGAGGGAAGCAGTGGAGTGTGTGATGGAACAGACGGGAGGTGTTTGTAGAGGGGGTGGAAGGGGCAGGGAAGTTGTTTAGGGTAGAAGGGGTGGGGGAAGGATTGGAGGTCTGATTTGAAGGGGTAAGGGGTGAGTTGGGAGGGGTGCTGGTGGGAGGGTGACGACTGTGGGTCAGTCGTCTTGACTTCGGTTCTTGCTGCTCTTCTTTGGTCATGTATCTATCAATAAACACATTATAATTGCCCTTGCTGCCCCATGTTTATGCTTTAATATGTAGACCATCGCCTTTTCATTAGAAAACTGGACCATAACAGGTCTTTTTGTGGTGCCATTGTAAGGCCCAATTCGGTGGCGGAGTTCAATCTCGTGTCCTGCCATCTCAGCCTTAATACACCTCAATTTTTCACTAAGTTCAATCTTTTCAATCTGTATCCTTTCATATTTCGATGATGCCTTTGATTCACATAATCACCTTCACATAATCACCTAAGTGTGGAAAACTTCCACCCACAATATCAATATTATAATGTAAGAAATGAGGCACATCAGAATCATATCAGAATACATCTTTTGAATCCTATATCAGAATCATTAGAAACTTACATCTGGATCCTGCATGACAACACTACAATGGTCACGTCCACCATTGCGCCTATGGATGCCTACGTGACTTTGCTCATTTATCTTTAAGGATCTAGAAGGTTCGACAAGAAGACAGTGATGTATTTTCAAATCTGTTGTAAAGAATCAATTTGTACTATAAGTATTACCTATAATCCTTATATCCAATATAGATTTATTCTATATCCTACTTTATCTCAATAATCTGGCTATATATATAATTAATTAATATTCATAGTTGGCCACACTCACTAGAGAGAGGGTGGAGAAGATGCCTCGGAGGGCAAGCCACCACGAGCAACAACGAGCAACAACGAGCTACAAACAGCAACAACCCGTGCCCACGAGCTAAAACCAGCAACAACTAACTCCCACGAGCAACAACGAGCGCTCACGAGCGACCACGAGTAACAACGAGCAACAACGAGCGCCCACGAGCAACAACGAGCGCTCACGAGCGACCACGAGCAACAACTAACTCCCACGAGCAACAACGAGCGCTCACGAGCGACCACGAGCAACAACGAGCGCTCACGAGCAACATCGAGCAACGACGAGCGCCCACGAGCAACAACGAGCGCCCACGAGCAACAACGAGCGCCCACGAGCAACAACGAGCGCCCACGAGCAACAACGAGCAACAACGAGCGCCCACGAGCAACAACGAGCGCCCACGAGCAACAACGAGCGCCCACGAGCAACAACGAACTCCCACGAGCCACAACGAGCAACAACGAGCGACCACGAGCTCTCACGAGCGATCACGAGCAACAACGAGCGCCCACGAACAACAACGAACTCCCACGAGCCCCCACGAGCAACAACGAGCGCCCACGAGCAACAACGAGCGCCCACGAGCAACAACGAGCGCCCACGAGCAACAACGAGCGCTCACGAGCGACCACGAGCAACAACGAGCAACAACGAGCGCTCACGAGCGACCACGAGCAACAACTAACTCCCACGAGCAACAACGAGCGCTCACGAGCGACCACGAGCAACAACGAGCAACAACGAGCGACCACGAGCAACAACTAACTCCCACGAGCAACAACGAGCGCTCACGAGCGACCACGAGCAACAACGAGCGCTCACGAGCAACAACGAGCAACGACGAGCGCCCACGAGCAACAACGAACGCCCACGAGCAACAACGAGCGCCCACGAGCAACAACGAGCAACAACGAGCGACCACAAGCAACCACAAGCTCTCACGAGCGACCACGAGCTACAACAAGCAGCAACGAGCGCCCACGAGCAACAACGAGCGCCCACGAGCACAACGAGCGCCCACGAGCAACAACGAGCGCCCACGAGCAACAACGAGCAACAACGAGCGACCACAAGCAACCACAAGCTCTCACGAGCGACCACGAGCTACAACAAGCAGCAACGAGCGCCCACGAGCAACAACGAGCGCCCACGAGCAACAACGAGCGCCCACGAGCAACAACGAGCGCCCACGAGCAACAACGAGCAACAACGAGCGCCCACGAGCAACAACGAGCGCTCACGAGCGACCACGAGCAACAACGAGCGCTCACGAGCAACAACGAGCAACGACGAGCGCCCACGAGCAACAACGAACGCCCACGAGCAACAACGAGCGCCCACGAGCAACAACGAGCAACAACGAGCGACCACAAGCAACCACAAGCTCTCACGAGCGACCACGAGCTACAACAAGCAGCAACGAGCGCCCACGAGCAACAACGAGCGCCCACGAGCAACAACGAGCGCCCACGAGCAACAACGAGCGCCCACGAGCAACAACGAGCGCCCACGAGCAACAACGAGCGCCCACGTGCAACAACGAACTCCTACGAGCAACAACGAGCGACCACGAGCTCTCACGAGCGATCACGAGCAACAACGAGCGCCCACGAACAACAACGAACTCCCACGAGCCCCCACGAGCAACAACGAGCGACCACGAACAACAACGAGCTCTCACGAGCGGACACGAGCAACAACGAGCGACCACGAGCGCCTACGAGCAACAACGAGCAACAACGAGCGACCACGAGCAACAACGAGTTCTCACGAGCGACCACGAGCAACAACGAGCGCTCACGAGCTCCCACGAGCTCCCACGAGCAACAACGAGCGCCCACGAGCAACAATAACAATGAGGGCCCTCGAGCGACCATGAGCAACAACGAGCGCCCACGAGTGTCCACGAGCAACAATGAGCGCCCACGAGCAACAACGAGCGCCCACGAGCAACAATGAGCGCCCACGAGCAACAACGAGTGCCCACGAGCAACAATGAGCGCCCACGAGCAACAACGAGCGCCCACGAACAACAATGAGGGCCCTCGAGCGACCATGAGCAAAAACGAGCGCCCGAGGCCTGAATCTAGAGTTTACATCTAGAGTGTACACGTGCGACGATCTGAGACTTACAACAGTACCAGAACCGCACAAACTAATCCTAATTCCCAGTGATAATTAACTAAACTAGCTCCCTAAGATACTCAGGGAGGTGTTGAACCATATATCAGAACAAATTACTGATATATTTATCTAAATGGAAGTGTAGAGTGGTACTCCCAGCACGTGTTGACTGTTGACCGCTCACTACTGATATCTTAATCCTAATAAACGCTACAGCGTGCATTCAGTCACTACAGCAACGCTGTTATATCATGAAAATATATCATCAAAATACTGTGGCTTATCATCACGAGAGATATAGTGTGGCAACTGGTCAGATCGGTTCCCAATGTGGATAAGTTATTAAGTGTTTGTAGAGCGTAAATTGGTTACTTGCTTGTTTTTTAGACCTTATCATGTTCATATAAATTGTTAATTATATAGAGGGCGGAAATCCCCCACAATCAAGTGAGCTTCTATCTTAATCTTTATCCTCTAATCTGAATATATGTATGCAAATATATATATATATATATATATATATATATATATATATATATATATATATATATATATATATATATATATATATATATATATATATATATATATATATATATATATATATATATATATATATATATATATTTTTTATTTTATGTATTTTTTTTTATTTTACACACAACTAAATATAAATATTGCAGAGAATAAAAATAATATATATATATATATATATAGAACTTTAGAACACTTTCCCACCAGGAGACTCGAACCCTAGCCAGCACAGAAGCCTTCCAGCAACTGGCAAAACAGGTACGCCTTAACCCGCTCCACCACCAGCTCAGACCCTTAAAAGAGATGGTAATTTCGGAGTATTTAAATACACCAAAGATCACCACCTCCCAAGAGCACTAGAGCAAGTGAGGGGTCATTTAGACGTTAATTTCATCAAGTCCCTGTTAATATGGGAAGACACAGTGTCTATGCTTAAGGCACAACTCTCCTAAACACTAGAGTGAAGTATAGAACTTTAGAACACTTTCCCACCAGGAGACTCGAACCCTAGCCAGCACAGAAGCCTTCCAGCAACTGGCATAACAGGTACGCCTTAACCCACTCCACCACCAGCTCAGACCCTTAAAAGAGATGGTAATTTCAGAGTATTTAAATACACCAAAGATCACCACCTCCCAAGAGCACTAGAGCAAGTGAGGGGTCATTTAGACGTTAATTTCATCAAGTCCCTGTTAATATGGGAAGACACAGTGTCTATGCTTAAGGCACAACTCTCCTAAACACGAGAGTGAAGTATAGAACTTTAGAACACTTTCCCACCAGGAGACTCGAACCCTAGCCAGCACAGAAGCCTTCCAGCAACTGGCATAACAGGTACGCCTTAACCCGCTCCACCACCAGCTCAGACCCTTAAAAGAGATGGTAATTTCGGAGTATTTAAATACACCAAAGATCACCACCTCCCAAGAGCACTAGAGCAAGTGAGGGGTCATTTAGACGTTAATTTCATCAAGTCCCTGTTAATATGGGAAGACACAGTGTCTATGCTTAAGGCACAACTCTCCTAAACACGATAGTGAAGTATAGAACTTTAGAACACTTTCCCACCAGGAGACTCGAACCCTAGCCAGCACAGAAGCCTTCCAGCAACTGGCATAACAGGTACGCCTTAACCCGCTCCACCACCAGCTCAGACCCTTAAAAGAGATGGTAATTTCGGAGTATTTAAATACACCAAACATCACCACCTCCCAAGAGCACTAGAGCAAGTGAGGGGTCATTTAGACGTTAATTTCATCAAGTCCCTGTTAATATGGGAAGACACAGTGTCTATGCTTAAGGCACAACTCTCCTAAACACGAGAGTGAAGTATACAACTTTAGAACACTTTCCCACCAGGAGACTCGAACCCTAGCCAGCACAGAAGCCTTCCAGCAACTGGCATAACAGGTACGCCTTAACCCGATCCACCACCAGCTCAAACCCTTAAAAGAGATGGTAATTTCGGAGTATTTAAATACACCAAAGATCACCACTTCCCAAGAGCACTAGACCAAGTGAGGGGTCATTTAGACGTTAATTTCATCAAGTCCCTGTTAATATGGGAAGACACAGTGTCTATGCTTAAGGCACAACTCTTCTAAACACGAGAGTGAAGTATACAACTTTAGAACACTTTCCCACCAGGAGACCCGAACCCTAGCCAGCACAGAAGCCTTCCAGCAACTGGCATAACAGGTACGCCTTAACCCGCTCCACCACCAGCTCAGACCCTTAAAAGAGATGGTAATTTCGGAGTATTTAAATACACCAAAGATCACCACCTCCCAAGAGCACTAGAGCAAGTGAGGGGTCATTTAGACGTTAATTTCATCAAGTCCCTGTTAATATGGGAAGACACAGTGTCTATGCTTAAGGCACAACTCTCCTAAACACGAGAGTGAAGTATAGAACTTTAGAACACTTTCCCACCAGGAGACTCGAACCCTAGCCAGCACAGAAGCCTTCCAGCAGCTGGCATAACAGGTACGCCTTAACCCGCTCCACCACCAGCTCAGACCCTTAAAAGAGATGGTAATTTCGGAGTATTTAAATACACCAAAGATCACCACCTCCCAAGAGCACTAGAGCAAGTGAGGGGTCATTTAGACGTTAATTTCATCAAGTCCCTGTTAATATGGGAAGACACAGTGTCTATGCTTAAGGCACAACTCTCCTAAACACGAGAGTGAAGTATAGAACTTTAGAACACTTTCCCACCACCCGCTCCACCACCAGCTCAGACCCTTAAAAGAGATGGTAATTTCGGAGTATTTAAATACACCAAAGATCACCACCTCCCAAGAGCACTAGAGCAAGTGAGGGGTCATTTAGACGTTAATTTCATCAAGTCCCTGTTAATATGGGAAGACACAGTGTCTATGCTTAAGGCACAACTCTCCTAAACACGAGAGTGAAGTATAGAACTTTAGAACACTTTCCCACCAGGAGACTCGAACCCTAGCCAGCACAGAAGCCTTCCAGCAACTGGCATAACAGGTACGCCTTAACCCGCTCCACCACCCGCTCAGACCCTTAAAAGAGATGGTAATTTCGGAGTATTTAAATACACCAAAGATCACCACCTCCCAAGAGCACTAGAGCAAGTGAGGGGTCATTTAGACGTTAATTTCATCAAGTCCCTGTTAATATGGGAAGACACAGTGTCTATGCTTAAGGCACAACTCTCCTAAACACGAGAGTGAAGTATAGAACTTTAGAACACTTTCCCACCAGGATACTCGAACCCTAGCCAGCACAGAAGCCTTCCAGCAACTGGCATAACAGGTACGCCTTAACCCGCTCCACCACCAGCTCAGACCCTTAAAAGAGATGGTAATTTCGGAGTATTTAAATACACCAAAGATCACCACCTCCCAAGAGCACTAGAGCAAGTGAGGGGTCATTTAGACGTTAATTTCATCAAGTCCCTGTTAATATGGGAAGACACAGTGTCTATGCTTAAGGCACAACTCTCCTAAACACGAGAGTGAAGTATAGAACTTTAGAACACTTTCCCACCAGGAGACTCGAACCCTAGCCAGCACAGAAGCCTTCCAGCAACTGGCATAACAGGTACGCCTTAACCCGCTCCACCACCAGCTCAGACCCTTAAAAGAGATGGTAATTTCGGAGTATTTAAATACACCAAAGATCACCACCTCCCAAGAGCACTAGAGCAAGTGAGGGGTCATTTAGACGTTAATTTCATCAAGTCCCTGTTAATATGGGAAGACACAGTGTCTATGCTTAAGGCACAACTCTCCTAAACACGAGAGTGAAGTATAGAACTTTAGAACACTTTCCCACCAGGAGACTCGAACCCTAGCCAGCACAGAAGTTTTCCAGCAACTGGCATAACAAGTACGCCTTAACCCGCTCCACCACCCGCTCAGACCCTTAAAAGAGATGGTAATTTCGGAGTATTTAAATACACCAAAGATCACCACCTCCCAAGAGCACTAGAGCAAGTGAGGGGTCATTTAGACGTTAATTTCATCAAGTCCCTGTTAATATGGGAAGACACAGTGTCTATGCTTAAGGCACAACTCTCCTAAACACGAGAGTGAAGTATAGAACTTTAGAACACTTTCCCACCAGGAGACTCGAACCCTAGCCAGCACAGAAGCCTTCCAGCAACTGGCATAACAGGTACGCCTTAACCCGCTCCACCACCAGCTCAGACCCTTAAAAGAGATGGTAATTTCGGAGTATTTAAATACACCAAAGATCACCACCTCCCAAGAGCACTAGAGCAAGTGAGGGGTCATTTAGACGTTAATTTCATCAAGTCCCTGTTAATATGGGAAGACACAGTGTCTATGCTTAAGGCACAACTCTCCTAAACACGAGAGTGAAGTATAGAACTTTAGAACACTTTCCCACCAGGAGACTCGAACCCTAGCCAGCACAGAAGCCTTCCAGCAGCTGGCATAACAGGTACGCCTTAACCCGCTCCACCACCAGCTCAGACCCTTAAAAGAGATGGTAATTTCGGAGTATTTAAATACACCAAAGATCACCACCTCCCAAGAGCACTAGAGCAAGTGAGGGGTCATTTAGACGTTAATTTCATCAAGTCCCTGTTAATATGGGAAGACACAGTGTCTATGCTTAAGGCACAACTCTCCTAAACACGAGAGTGAAGTATAGAACTTTAGAACACTTTCCCACCAGGATACTCGAACCCTAGCCA